TACTTAAAGCACAACAGTCCTTGGCGGCGCCGGATTCAGTTGATGCTGCATTCAAGAACAGCCACGATCTCGATGCATGACGATCTTCAAAGACGTTGTGGATCGATTGCGGATACGCGGAACGCTGCCTCCCCCCCAACACCCCCCCCACAAAACCCACGCCCCACTGCTTCTGACAAACGGGGGTCCTGCGTTTGACAAACGTTGTGCCCCCGTTGGCGGGGATCCTGCGTTTGACAAACGCACGACCCCCGCCAACGGGAGAGAGTCCCGCGTTTGCCAAACGTCGGGCCCTCCCACCGAATCTGTTAAGGAAGGGGTGAGGAAAAGATAGGGTCCAGCGTTTGTCAAACGCTGTATCTCCATTGGCGGGGCTCCAGCGTTTGACAAACGCTGTGCCCCCGTAATCGGGGGTCCTGCGTTTGACAAACGACGACCCCCGCCAATGGGAGAGCGTCCCGTGTTTGTCAAACGCAGGACCCCCCTACCGAATATGTTAAGCCTGCAAGGGCTGAGGAAGGGATGGGGTCCAGCGTTTGTCAAACGCTGTGCCCCCATTGGCGGGGGTCCAGCGTTTGACGAACGTTGTACCCCCGTTGGCGGGGGTCCTACGTTTAACTAACGCAGGACCCTGCCAACGGGACAGCGTGCCGCGTTTGTCAAACGCCGGACCCCTCGACCGAAACTATTTAGGAAGGGGTGAGGAAGGGATGGGGTCCTGTCTAGAGAGGGGTGAGGGTAGGAGGGGGTCCTGTTTAGAGAGGGGCAATCGGTCCCTTGCATGGTCCCGCGTTTGACAGTATCAGCTTCTGTCAAGGGGGAGTTACAAACGGTCGAACAATATTTAGGGATCCTGTCTTGAACGGTCCCGCGTTTGTCCCGCGTTTGACAGTATTAGTGAGAGTTAGCCTCATCGGGGAGTTACCAATGGTCGAACAATGTTTACGAGCGTCTGCACGTTTGATTTGGCGCTCGTGTGTGTGCGGTATGTAGGGGTGCATAATGTCGTGGACATCAACGTGAAGCATCAGTGGAAGTACCGAGAGACACAAACGCTCAACAAAACCATTTCCTCCTTCTGCGATAGCGGTGCGGCGTTATAACGGTCATACTTGGCTTCACGGAGCAACAACAGAGGATTTCGAAGAGGACCCATGGATGACCGTCGTCCCATATATGAATCGACATTTTAACCAATGGAGCGATAGTAATTGGAACGCGATGGAGAGTGCCTGCCCTTGGGAAAACCATTACAAGTTTGCAAATATGTTGGAGTTCGGGAGTCTCATTCTAGTGCCGGATCGTCTTCTCAAGCCTGTTTTCCTCACCCGTTTGCGTAAAGCATACCACAACATTGACCGCTGTATCACTCGCCTCGACTTCGAGTACATCACAAGTTCGCCACGAACTTGGAGGACTTCGTTGAAACAAGAGCTAATAGACACAGCTAATCATTGTTCATTCTTGGAGCAGTACCCGTTGCGTTGCCCACGGATATATCCACGAGCTGTGTCATACTGTTGCGTGTGATTGAGTCTTACCGGATATGAATTCGCAAGAGTGGTATGTGTCGCTTCTTCAAACAAATCTAGGAAACTCGTAGATGCAGTTGTGTGTGTATCACGGAACCAACTCTTTATACAGCCGCCACGGGGATGGTGGTTGCCTCTTCGCTGGGATCCAGATGGACGGTCAGATCTAGTGAGGGCAGACCGTATGGAAAATCCTGCACTGTGGCAACAGCTGGAAGAGAAAGCGGCGACCGTACGAGACGCTATTGGGAAGTCCTTAGCAGGAACGGGAGGGTTCGTTAGGTTGAAATACATGTCGGTGTTTTCGAAAAATGCAACAAAGCAGAAGCCGCAGATCCACGTATATGGATCGACTTTGAATGCTCTGTATGGCTTCAGTCCACGACCTCGTCTGCAACAAACCCCGTATGTCACAAGAACCGGACGGGTTATCAGACCTCCTGCTTAAAGGATACAGTTAGAGACGATGTATATATAGCGGGTCCGGCGTGTTTTTCTGTTTTTATCGGGAATTTTGATTGTCTACACGCTAAACTTGCAGGATGGAAGCCGGTCAACCAAGCTCGCATGGAAGCGAATCCCCTCATCACGCTCCGTCGACAATTGAGGATCTGATTATTTTAGGGACTAGCATTTGGTCGGTCGATATCATAGAAGAATTTGAGAATTATGGTTACATGAATATCGAAGAAGAAGTTGRGCCTGATGGAGAGCTTYTGCCGATCATGGGTCTCGTCAACGGAGAGGAGACARTCGTCGTCGACAATGGATYGAATGTTTGGTACCTGTACACTGAGTTGGATGAGGTGTGCGTCATTATGTCGACAAATGACGTTGTGGATCCTCCGGAGATGCTAGCAAACTGGAGGGA